ACTTTCCAAATAGTTAAGGTTAACCCTTCTTACACGTACACTAATTTTGCACTAATAATCTATCTCTAAATCTCTATTACTACATCAATATATCATCGCATCAATGACAAAACATCAATGCATCAATACATCACATCAAAATCAGAACACATTAATACATCTCAACATCAACACCTCAATACATTAACATCTTAAAGGCATTAATTCTTCTAACACTTCAATACATGCATGTCAACAATTAATACTCTGTCATTATGTACACAATATGTACAAAGTCATTTGCCACGCCCCCTTCCACGTGATTGCATTATACACTGAACATTGTGTCGAGCCTCACACAGGTCTCATTCTATCCAGATGTAAACATTTCATGTACTTCATGGCCATCTCTCGCCCTGGGGTCAGGCTTCATAAAATGAATGTCCCTGCCTCCTCATCCTTCGTTTAGGTGCCCCTCTGGGTCCCCGGACACTTTACAACAAACGTTTACACATAAGTATATATACAAGTGACCATTCACCTTACATCGAGTATTACATACTCCAAATGGTACACAACTAGTTATTCACCATACAAATGAACATGGGAGCATGCTTAGAATAACTATACACTGTTATTCAACATACATCGATCCACGCGGTTGCATTATACACTGAACATTGTGTCGAGCCTCACACAGGTCTCATTCTATCAAGATGTAAACATTTCATGTACTTCATGGCCATCTGTCGCCCTGGGGTCAGGCTTCATAAAATGAATGTCCCTGCCTCCTCATCCTTCATACAGGTGCCCCACTGGGCAACAAACGTTTACACGTAAGTATATATACAAGTGACCATTCACCTTACATCGAGTATTACATACTCCGAATGCTACACACATAGTTATTCACCATACAAATGAACATGGGAGCATGCTCAGAATAACTATACACTGTTATTCAACATACATCAAGCCTGTACAATACTCAGAATAACTAAAAAAAGCATAGGGTTATTCAACATACATTGAGCAAGTACAACTTAGAATAACCAATGTCAATATCAAAAGTAAATATACCTGATGATATTATTATGGTGGTTGTTTTCAACATAACGACGACTGCCAAATCAAGACTGTGTGTGAGGTCTCAAAATATGTATTGACGTAATTCACGATGAAAAGACATGTTGATCTTGACAGTGAACAAATGGCATCAGCCTGATCATCTGAGTTATTTGTGTCACAACAAATTTTGAGCATTGATCTGATCAACCAATCTCAAAAGCGAAGTGAAATGAACTACACTGTACTGAAACGAACCAAAATAAAGCGAACCATACCGAATCGAAACGAGCCAAACCGAAACAAACCGTACCGCACATTGAAACGAACCACACCGCACTGAAACGCCCCGTGGCAATCAGCCTCCAGGAAACATTTCTAAGGGATGATTATTCGTTTAACTTGTATGATGCAGTAGTATAGGTAATGGTGATTCTGTCTGTGATAAATCTCAGATTTATATACCTATACCACCACTACAGAGGGATTTTTTTATGTCAAAATGATGATGCGATTCAACGATCATCATGAGTCGAAAGTTAAATTGGCTCTAGCTCACCACTACCTGGAGCCAATAAATGATACCATAGAGGGAATTTTTTGTACAAAAACGATGATGAGACTTAACTAAATTGTAATGAAAAAAACAAAGTGATATTCAACATTTTTACTAAGTTCTTCGTTCATTTTACTAGGAGACCAGACTATATACTCTTCTTGGTAATTGGAAAGAAACAATTGATGACCGTATTTGGTTGGTTTGAAATCACTGATATAATATATACCTTGTGGTCATTCTCTCCATTTGATAATTTTGTCCCTGAGCATAAATGCTTCGATAGCTTTTTCAAGTTCTTCCTTTGTTGGTTTGTAATTCTCCATTATTATATACTTATGTAAGCATTCGTTTAAATGTGATCCAATGATAGTAAGCAATCTATTTTTAATGTCCAACAAGTTCTTTGGTTTTGGCACGGAATAATTGATGCGCTTGTTGTCTCCCCTGTTCTATGAACTTTTTTTCTCATCTTCATTAATACCACTGGTCTTACGAGAATTTGGTCGAATTTCCTGCTTCATTGCGTTGTAATTGGTGAGTTCTGACAAAACTAAACGAAACTCCTCCTCGGATATCTTACAATCAGCCATTGCTGTTGAAATATGGTCCTCAATGCTGTTCAACTTTGCTTCGGCGAGTATCCAAATATTATCATGTTTTAATGCTTTCTTTTGCAACTTACGAGAAATGAATTTTATTGCTATTCCTGCCAGTCCAGAGACTCCGGAGGCTATTTCCATGCCAAGTACAATAGGCGCGGCGATTATAGTTGATAATAAACCAACCACGGCTACACCGAGTCCCATGCCAGCCGTTACAAGTGCAGTGTTAACTCCGTCGAGAGCATTCACAGCTCTGCGATACTTTTTATAAATTCCAAGTCTCAACTCCCTCTCCTTTTCTTTTCGATGTTTTATGTTGCTTATTTGATGTAATCGAAATCCATCAACAGTATCCATCTTTTCAGATGCTTCATCGCGCCCCTGATATAAACCCATAATATATATTATTATATCATATAATAGTCTTTAATTGGTCTTGCTTCAATGTTTTGAGAGTATACATCAACCTTATTAAATGTATATTATACGGCATAAATATCTTAGTAAGAGAAATGCTGTCACTTTTAATAATTTGGACCCCCTCAAGGGTTGCAACGGGTGATGCTCCCATATAAATAATACTGCAACGTTGACATTGGTGTTTCTTGAGCCATTGAATTGATAGACCTGGTAATATTTCGAAGGCATCTTCTGGTGCATCTCCAAACAAGACTTCAATAATAAATGTAGAAAGATTAGGTATTGCACTCAAGTTATCTTTAATATCATTGAATTCAATAACCAAATTTAAACTAACGTTTTTTACTGCCAGACGACTAAATAACACATGACCTGGGTTTTCTGGCAGGGGAGAGACTAACACACTTTTTGAGGGGATATAAGCCGCGAGTATATGATCCCACTATTTATTATCTTAGTTAATTGATGTCCCTTACCCATCATCACATATAGTGGGGTTATGATGATATTCAATAGCCACTCGATTTTTTCTTCGATCATGTTCCATTTATTATCATCGTTGCGAGTAAGATTGTACGAAGTGTTTTTATTGAGTCCACTAACGTCGACATCACTTATATCTCCTAGATTACCTGTGAATGTAATTTCTTTCCGCTTGTATACATTATCGTTTAAGTGTAAAGCGTATAACTTAATAAATAACCTTACAAAAAAAAAACCCAGAAAAGATGTATCCGAGACCGCCCCGAGACCGCCCCGAGACCGTCCCGATGCATCTTTTGTTGGATTTTAGCCAATTTTTATGGTCTCGGCTAGCCGAGACTTTGCGTAGACCCATCGAAGACTATTCTGGGGAATAATCAAGTACTTCCCCACAAAGGCATTAACATACCGAAGACGTTTCTAGTGCATCTCCACTAGCAGGGGATGTCTTAGGAGATCTCTTAAGATGTCTCCGATACGTCTTCGCTTGCGAAGACCTTCAAAACAACTTTGCAAAGACTATTCGGAGACTTCCTCAGAAGGGCCATAAAGTAGCTGAAGGTTTGCAAAGATGTATCAGTGCATCCTCGCTAGCGAAGACCCCACAAAGACTTCGTGAGGACTATTCGGAGACTTCCTCATAAGGCAATAAAATAGCTGACTGTTTGCAAGGATGTATTGAGTGCATTCTCACTAACGAAGACCCCACAAAAACATTTGTGGGGACTTTTCGGAGACTTCTTTACAAACAAACAAAATTGAAAAGATACTGTGGAGTCTTCTTTGCTTGTGGAAATCTTTGAAAGAACTTTGCAAAGACTATTCAGAGACTTCCTCACAAGGCAACTTGATAACCGGTTTGCAATGATGATGTGAATGCATCCTCACCAGCCAAAACTATATGAAGACTTTTGTAAGTGTATATCTTTCAAAGACTTCCTTTCAATTGATACAGATCAATACATTGAGCTTTAGTCAAGATCTCGGAAAACTAGGTCCCTTGCTTGGAAGAGATGACATGATCATTATTATTTATTTTGAATTTTCTTTAAGGATAATACTAAAGCTCTTTATCTAAAACATTCACATGCAATGAATTAGAAATCCTATATATGTCGGCAAGGACATTAATAATTAAATACCCAACACAATTAATGCTTCGAGGTATATTTCTATTAAATACAGTTAAAACAAATGCAGGAATTATCAGTATGCAATAATCAGAAAAAAGAAAGAAATGTACAATATATTCATAAATTCCAATCAGAAAGTAACAGTGTCCGTGTGCCATATAACAGTCTCCTCAGAAAAAGGTATATAAGAAAAGGCAACATAAAGTAATATTACTTGTAGACATAGTGGCTGATTTGTGGCTCAAGATATACATGACAGGGATCGAAATTAAATTTATTTCAAGTTTGCCAATGGGCACAATTATGCCAAATTAAGTGTGCCATTACATTTTTAGGGGTGCCAGGAAATACATGATTGGCTGTTTTAATGGTTATAATCATAATTCAAATACAAGTCAAGTGACTGTCATAGTGTTTATTCAAGTTAAATTATACTTAGAATGAATGATCAATCAGAAAATTCAAACACATCACTCAAGTTACTCATTGTCTTTGTACCTTAGTATAAGTACTGCAATACCAGTTATAATAGTCTCAGGATTTATGAGCTTCTGTTCACAACTGGTATATTTTAATTGTAGCTGTTCTGTGTCCATTGGGTGTGGTCCCTTGTGAACTGGTATATTTTAATTGTAGCTATTCTGTGTCCATTGGCTGTGGTCCCTCTTCATCCCCCCCCCCCCCCCCAAAATGAAAGTTATGTTTATCGCATTATTTAAATGATGCATATACAACTAAATTAAGTGTGTTGTAAATAAAAATAATCCAAGCTAACACATTCATAACGTCCAGATTAAGGACAGAGGAAACAAAAATTTGACGATTTTCAGAACTTAGATCTACCAAAGACGTATATATACGTCCGTGGATCTACCTATTTATTGTTGTTGTTGTTTTTCATATTTATTGTTTACGTAGATCTAGACTCTTAATCGGAAAATTATTTTCAAAAGAATTATTAATAATATCTGTCATCATTTTCCCGATGACAGTGGCTGTCCACTCTGTAGCATGAAGAAATATCTCCGTTTTCGAAGCTTCGCATGAATAACACGTACCATGTGCCACACCATTATCTTCAACGTTTATTTTGTCATCTACACGACAGTCAACTCGCCTTGAGTATTTACATTACTATAACATGCTATTTTATTGGTTTCTGGTGACGCTTTCATGCCGAAATCTGCTATAAGATTCGTGATTGGTCAAATTGAGCACGTGACCTAATACAACCAATTACAGCAACGGTACTCGTGTATATCAGACTTTGACGAAAGTTTTTTGGTAAATCGTGTTGTTCTGAACGTTTTAAGCAGGAAATCGCGATCTATATTAAAAATATGAAACTTCGTGGATGTATCGTGCCAGGTTACGAGCTGAGACAAAGATTTTTCTTGCATATATTTGGCATTAAACATTGTGGAGAAATCGAGGCGATAAAAGCCGCGATGCCATTTGACTCGCATCACACGCGATCGCACGAAAAGATGGAAATGATAACTTATATCTAAGTTTGACAACTTTTAGACAGATAAATAATTTTGTTGATTTCATTTATTACTTTGTAAAATATATCTAAAGATTTGATTGACACGTTTTCATTTTGCTCTTTGACTTGTTCGATGTGGACCCATTGTCAAAGTGTGTGTCGGAGAATTCTATTTTCAATAACATTGCGGGAAATAGATCTAGTGAATAATATTTTGATCTATGGATAAAAAATAATAATTTGAAAGAGAAGCAAAAACTGAAAAAGAGAGTCACCAAACCTTCATCGAGATAGAATCTACGCCGACTCTGAGTTCAGCAAGGATGACAACGTATATGTTCCTGAACAAACGGTAGGTACACTTTAGATCTGTTTGTGTTACATAAATATATTTTTAAAATATAGCCCTCTATATTGTCTCCATAACAATTATGCTAAATAAATCCACCGAAACGACCCCCGATCCAAACCAATTCTCACTTAGATATTGAACTTAGTTTTAGCATTCGCTGAAAGAGAAATCTTTTTTCAAGCTCCATTTATAAATCGTAAATTTATGTTCTAATTTGGAACCTCAAACTGAAATAAGTCAGTTAGAAACTTCAATATTAGACCCTTTACTCATCTAATTTTGGACTATTTATGAGAAATAATAAGCGCAGATGTAATTTTGTAATATTGCGCAGGCATTTCAGATTTCATGTTTCGATCACATCGTGGTTCTCCGTAAAATTTATGGAGAGCACCGATGTGGGACTGAGATAAAAAGTATTTCTTCAAAACAAATTATGTATCACTGAAATGTGAAATATGATCGCAGACTGTAGTTATAAGTTTACAAAATTATTGAATTAATAGATAACAAATTATATATTTGTATTATGTTAAACTCTATTTATCTTAAGTTGTATTTGAAATTAAAACTTAGTTTTTTTTACAAACAAATGTCCATTGTTGTATGGTAATTAGTACGGAAATCGCCGCCATTTTGTAACCTGCTGTTTTATAACGAGGATGTTGCTTGATATTTTTTTAAGAACTCGTAAGTAAGGGAAACTCATGTTTTGTAACGTTTGTTTGAAATAGATGTATGTTCCCAGTAAATGTTGTGGTCTTATCGTTTTCCCCGTCGACATGCTCCATCGCCATCGCGGTATAGATCCTGAATTACGTTTTGGACTGGCACCAGGTTGTTGAAATTTTGGCAAAGTTGCCAGTGTCAACTTTGTTTTGTGACCAGCAATACCCGCCTTTTACATTTAGGTTATTAATGAATGCAACTTGATTTTTCAGCCCCCTTCCTTGTGGTGATTTTTTAAGACAAAAAATGAACGATACTTCATAGGAAGAGGTGTACTCCTGCTGATGTGCCTGTTTCATGAGAAGGGATCGAGGAAAAGAAGCCAGTTGCTGCCTGGTGGCCAGCAACTTGGTGTTTTTACGATGCTACCGACACCGATGTGGTACTCGAAGGTCAGTATCTTTGTTAAGTGTCAGGTAAATTTCATTTCAGGTTAATGGAACTGTAACTAAATAAATTATGAAACTAACTGGTACTTACAAAGTGCACACACAGACTTGTAAGGTAAAGGTTTAATTTTTATAATTTAATATCAGAATCATAGTAAGGAATCAATAGGTTTTACAATCTAAATATCCTTCCTGTGTTTAACTTTTGAGCCAATATGAGTACTTGTAAATGTCAAAACCATTTTTTACATTTTTCTAGAACACAATGACATTTGAATGTGTAATGCTTTGGTCAACTTACATGGACATATCAATATTAAGTGAATATCTAATCACAAGATGTTAACTAATTGACATCATTTAAAATCTAGTTTTGGTACAAGTGGTAAGTTTAGTAACTTTCAAGTCATCATACGTTTGGACTGGAACCATTTCACCTGAGTGCAATTTTAATGCTCTTATCTTGTTTTCAATTTATTTTTACTGTATCATGAATTATGAAGCTTTGATTTATCATCCATTGTAACATGTTATTTTTTTCATCAGTTCTGAAACCGGCAAAGAAAAAACAACTGGAACTTTGTGGTGAGCAAGAAGATCTGCACACTTAGGAATGCCTTCAAGTGAATGAGCCATGGTTTGTTTCTTTGACCATAACATCAGTAATTTTGTAGCCCCCCAAAAGTAATTTTTGTAATAGTTTTTAATGAGTCTCCTTGACATCTGGGGACGGTCGGGTAGCCTAGTGGTTAAAGCGTTCGCTCGTCACGCCGAAGACCCGGGTTCGATTCCCGACATGGGTACAATGTGTGAACCTCATATCTGGTGTCCCCCGCCGTGATATTGCTGGAATATTGCTAAAAGCGGCGTAAAACCATACTCACTCACTCACTCCTTGACGTCTGACATAAAGTAATTAGTTTATGGCACTGATTGGGGCTGTCCGGTAGCCTAGTGGTTAAAGATGGTTCGTCACGCCAAAGACCCGGGTTCAATTCCCGACATGGGTACATTGTGTGAAGCCCATTTCTGGTGTCCCCCGCCGTGATATTGCTGGAACATTGCGCAAAAGCGGCGTAAAACCATACTCACTCACTCATTATGTCACTGATATACAATAACATTTGATCCCATTTCAGCCTCTTGAAGGACAGCTTCCATGACGACTCCTGCCAGGACGAGGATGACTTCCACTTTCATATGATGACTTCCACTTTCATATGATGGCTACCATATAATGATATCTTCTGTTGATGATGTCCACCTCTGGCTACTTGTTATTGCTGTTATTACTCCAAATAAAGAGAATACTATACAACTTCGTTATCTCATTTTTGACAGTACAGGTTTGACAAGGATGTTTCACAGACACTTCTGGGATGCTGTTGAAAGACTAGATTATGATGTAAGCACATCTTTTGTATTACTGAAAATGATGGAAAGGTAAAATGTCTCTGAAACATCTTTGTTATGGAGACTTCCTTAGAACTTTGCCGGGATGGTTCAAAGCATGTTAAATTACCCATGACAGGTTTGTGAAGACACTTCAGAGACTTCCTTGCAAGTGTTGCGGGGATGCTTCAGAAGCATCTTTGATTGCATAACACAAGTTTGTGGGGACTTATCAGGGACTTGCTCAGAAGGTTTCCCGGGATGGTTCAAAGCATATTTAATTACCCCTGATAGGTTAGCGAAGATGCTTCGGAGACTTCCTTGCAAGTTTTGCTGGGATGCTTCAGAAACACCTTTGATTACCTAATAATAGTTTGTGGAGACTATTCGGGGACTTCCTAAGAAGGTTTCCCGGGATGGTTCAAAGCATATTTAATTACCCCTGATAGGTTTGCGAAGATGCTTCGGAGACTTCCTTGCAAGTTTTGCTGGGATGCTTCAGAAACATCTTGATTACCTAATAATAGTTTGTGGAGACTATTTGGGGACTTACTCAGAAGGTTTCCCAGGATGGTTCAAAGCATATTTAATTACCCCTGATAGGTTTGCGAAGATGCTTCGGAGACTTCCTTGCAAGTTTTGCTGGGATGCTTCAGAAACATCTTTGATTACCTAATAATAGTTTGTGGAGACTATTCGGGGACTTCCTTAGAAGGTTTCCCGGGATGGTTCAAAGCATATTTAATTACCCCTGATAGGTTTGAGAAGACGCTTCGGAGACTTCCTTGCAAGTGTTGTGGGGATGCATTAGAAACATCTTTGATTATGTCACACACGTTTGTGGAGAATAATCAGGGACTTCCTAAGTGGGTTTGCCGAGATGGTTCAAAGCATATTTAATTAGCCATATAAGGTTAATTCTGAGGAAGTATTGGAGACTACTTCAGTAGGTACTGTAAGGAAGTCTTGGATACTTCTCAGCAAGCTGCAAGTTGGAGTAGTTTGCCGAGATGGTGTGGAGACATTTGCCGGGAATATCTAGAGACTTCCTTAAGACCCTGCGGAGAAGGTAAAAATGTGCCTTGCGGGGAATGATTAAAGCGGTCTCGGATGCATCTTTTCTGGCCTTTTTTTTTTGTAAGGGAATTACCATCGATACCGGGTTTACCGAATCCTTCTGTGTCTCCGAGATCGGAAAGCACAATTGTATTACATTGTCTGAGTGATCAATACCTAATTCACCTATTAAAAACCAATTATTTCTTCTTGCAGCACTTATATTGGTCCACCGCGGGTACTATGTAACATCACATAGAGCGACTTCAAGTTGATAGTATGAAGCAGTTGAATAGACTGTGACCATTTGTTATTCCCGGGAGTGTAACATACATATTAAATATACAAAGATACTATATCATAACTTAAATATGAAATCAACTTAGATTACTAATCAGTCGATTTAAGTAAGTGCCTCTGGTGCAATTTTTTTGTTGAATTCCCTGATATCTTTGAAAATATAGGGTCACGGCAACTAGCGATAAAATGGTGCACGATTGGTTTCACAATCCAATGCAATTTTGGCAGAACCAGTTAAACTTTGCCATATGGTGTGCCACAACAGGATGTGGTTTATCTCTTTATGCCCCAAGATTTGAACTTAATAAGTCTGTTTCATCATTTCACGTCTACTATCAAATGAGACGTATACTTAAAGAAATTAGTGCCCCATTACCGCAGGATCGAGCATGGAATGTGTTCAATAGATTCGCGTATGAGCATGTTTGTCAGGAATTTAATATTTCTACAAGTAAAGATTGGCGTATTAAAGGACTTAACCATGGTCTAGGTGTTCCGTACAGCGGAAAAAGAAATGTTGAAGAAGAAAGCGATCATTTACCATTCGATCCATTTAAGTTGTTACAGAAAAACAATCTTTTTATAAGATTGCATAATCTTAATCATGCCAGGGAACTTTCGAGTAACGATTGGACAGGAGATGATGTGAACGAAGTGCCTTTCTATTTCTGGAAGCCGCTTCGAGGCGGGCCGATCTTTCGTCTTCTAAGTTACGCAATCTTTCTGCAACGCAGCGTCTACTGAATTCATCACCCGCCTGTTCAAATTTTGTTTTCTCATAAGCTATATGCTTGTCAGTTCGGATAGCTTGGCTATATTATTGATGAGTTCTCCCCGCATTGTTTGCATTGCCTTGTCAAGGCATCGTAATTCTCCAATACTGAACTCCGAGGATGGTACCTGTAACATGGAATTATCGTAGTAAATATCCAAGATTTCTCCGAGTCCATCCGAGGCCAGCTTTGAGCTTTCTTCCAAATTATCTTTATCTATGTTACCGAGTTCAGTACGCACAGACTGAAGAACCTTAGTATTCTTCACAGAAAGTTTTTCTCGTGAGTAGTCTACAAAACCTAATGCATCACGAACAGTGTTGATGCCATGTTGATGCCAGCGGCTATCGTAGACAAGACTAGGGGCTTACGAGTACGAGAATTCATAAGATCAATATCCGGAGAGCCACTGTCTATCGTAAACTTTGAAGAGTCCCGACCTGTTGGGCTTTCTTTTAAGTAATAATCATTTACTGTTGATTGTAAAAGTTCATCATTAAGATTCATAAAGCTGGTTTCATCAGTACCGTCTTTGATTGTACTCGGATTATCAAAGTCATCTAGATTAAAATCATCCGTTTTATATTAAACATAAGGTTACATAATTTCAATATAACAATGTCTTCGCAAAACGGATGCAAGTTAAATCCACAACGTAGACTTCGAGATCCATTAGGGGTCAAAGCATAGTCTGTAACTATAACTAATAACCCGAGTACCATTGATCAGAATCAAACACTTCTGGTTGGCTTTCCTAATGTCGGCGCACATGATGTGTTAGTTCCGGGAACTGCCCGACTATCATTTACAATTAGATTGAATTCTACCGACGCTAGCAGAGAGCTCATTCAGAACATAGGTCGTGCGATTGTTAAGAAAATCATGATTAAAATTAGCGGCAATGAAGTGTTGAGTATTGACGACAGCGATGTATATTTCTGTTACATGGATCTCTGGAGAACGGCTAAAGAACGGGAAAACTTACAATACCTAGGTATTTGTAATCAGAACACATTGAGACTGCGTGTAGGTGCTGATAGGGGCAATAATATCGTCATAGGAGATAAGGCTGTTGCTGATGCATTAGTTACCCGATTCTATATTCTGCTAGACTTTGAATTACTAGATAGTCACATGCCCTTCTATCAAGCATCCCTAGGCGATAGGTTAGAATACGACCTCACTTTTAATGACTACAGCCAAGTAATCAAAGACGCTGAAGATGGTACTAGCTATTCTATTAACAATATCTCACTGGAGTATGATATGATATCAGAACCTGAATTAGCCAGACAAAATCGTAACCAGTATACCGAAAGTTTAGCCATTTTGTACGATCGCATGCTTTGACACCGAAAGATCACCAGGAACAAAAGAGATACGACGTGGAATATCAATCTAAACGTTCCCGCTAGATCGTTGAAGGGTATTTTAATGTTGTTCGAGGACCAATCTGATGCATTTGCAAGAGATACCGCGAAGTTCTACAACCCCAAGATTACAAAAGTAGAATTGACTATTGAGGGCATGCCTAATCAACTATATAGTCAAGGCATGCAAGCATATCAACAGTGGGATGAGATTAAAAAACTCGCTTCTATAAAATGAAGCCCAGAAGATATCGCGGTCGTGAAAGATCTGTCTCTCGGGGATGTGTCGATGGTTGATTTCCTTACCACGAAGTATGCGCTATGGCTCGACATGCGAACCAACAATGACCGGACAATGACCAACTACACGGCAGTGGGCGGAGAATAGAAAATGCTAGCGAGGGTGTTATTATACAGATAACGAAGCTCCAGGAAGCAGCTCGCAAATTAAACTTATATCTGTACGTGATTATGGACGTGCAACTTAATATACAGAATGGAAGATTTGTGCAAGCGATCTATTAATAATCTTTTACCTAAAGAACCATCTGCTGGCAAACGGGTTGTGGAAAAACAGCTTTTATTCTAGATATTTTACAAAGTCACTATCGGGATGTTTTTGACCATATTATTATTCTATGCCCGACTATAAACGTTAATAAAACATACTTATCCCGCGATATGCCAAGGAGAGGCACGGGCCACCGAGCCGTGGATGCCCGTGCCTATATTAAATACGGAAGATGAGATTGGGTTAAATGGCTGAGGGTGTGCAGGTACCAGTGGGCTACTAAGCTGCTAATTGTGTATACCAAAATGCTACCGTGCCATGGCCACTAGCGTGGCCAACGGCGATTCGCAGCTAGCGCTGCTGGCCTAAAACTGCTACCGCTGTCCGGCCCCCACGGTAGCATATTTAAACGCTACCATTGCTTGGCAACTCCCACGCTGCCAAAAGCAGCGCCCGCTGCTGGCCTAAGTCAGACTACCGCTGCCTGGCCCCAGGTAGCCGGCCAAAGCAGATCCCACTGCCTGGCCCCATTAGCAAAACCATTGTGCAACTACCGCCGCGGACCCAACTGTCAGCTACTGCTTGACAAGACGACTTCCGCCGCTGGGCCCATATACATGGCAATTGTTTGCCCCAACGTATGTTATTTTATGATTCCCCGGCTGAAAAGTCGGGAAAGACAAGGTTCCCACTGAGAAGCAGGTAACCCCGGAAAGGTTCCCGCTGAAAAGCAGGTAGCCTCAAGCACGAGTATTAATTTGGAAGCAAGTTAATATGTTACTAGCAGTGTAGCCCACAAGAACCTCGCCACAAAGCACCAGAGTGCTACCCCACACCCACGGCCACGCGATACACAGAGATAGCATTGTTGCCCCGCTTGCCTATGTACTGAAAAGAAACACTAACCTGTGGAGATAATATCCTTACTGGCGCAAAACAAGCGCCAGGGCATGCAATAAATTGTCCGTAAACACACACAATCGTTTGTCACTGAGGTGGACGCCCTCCCAGGCGTACCATGTCTTGTCTGATGCCAGGATCTGGGGATGTGGCACCATTGTACCGCCGAGCTCTTTGACTCGGTTGGCCAGTCGGCGGTTGATATTCTTCCGCATCCCCTCGATCTTTAGTGGATCCCTGGCATCGTGCCAGTAGCGCCTGGGCAGAATTGAGGATACGATGATCTTGGTGTCAGGAAGCTGGAGTTGTATCTGAAGGATTGATGCCACCATGTCAAGGTAGAGTTGGCTGCCCTTGACCGAGCACAGGTCGTTGGAGCCCAGGTGAATGATGAGGGCTCTGGGGCTGCGCCGTGTCGCCTTGACCTGTGCATCCAGAATAGTGTCCAGCTCCTTCCACCTCATCCCCCCTCGTGCCAGCCATAGCATCCTCGGTTGGTTCGGACTGGTGCCCTTCAGGAGCAAGTACTGCCGTGCCCTGGCCATGTAGCTGGATCCCACCATCCAAACTGTAAACAATAAGAAGTGTAGTAAGTACCATGAAAGACTATTTGAATTAATGTAAGCATTGTAGCAATCTGATTTCCACCTGCTGATTGTTGTATGAGGTGTTCGGGCACCCTGTTCATGGCTGCTGATGTGACTGCCCCAATGCGGAAGGGGTGCAAAGAATAGCAAGCCATGTTTATGTTGCTGTGTGCTAAGGCCTTTTTTAGGAGTGCCTGGAATTGGTACCTTGTAACGGGGGAATGGTCGAAATGAACGAATGCATGTTGTGGGCCGGAGGGGCGCGCCTCCAGGTAGTGCTTGATGGCGACTACCGGACATAGTGGATTACCTGGTATCGATGACATTGTAACTGTTGTCCCCATCCTGTACTGATCAGACTTCGAGTGTGGTAAATGGATTGAAAGCTGCTGGGGGTTGCCCGAGAAGCTTAAATTCTGGATGGCGCAACCTGTTTTTGAGGGTCCAGTTTGGACCAGTTCGCTAACCCTAAAGAAACCAAAGAAGGCTGTGCAGTAGACTGCCTTGAACAGCCTGGCTTCATATGCTGATGAGCATACGTGAGGCAGATTGTTGGTTACTACCTGCAGCAGTGTCTGGTGTCTGGTCGGCCCGCTGATTTGTGTAAGCCTGTTAAAATCTTGCCTACCAGGAAATGTACAGTCGGTGAGCCCGTGGAATTTGTGGTGTGAAGACAGCGCTGCAATGTAAGTCTTGACTGTGTTAGGGGAGTGGTGAGTGACTAACAGATAAGCAATAAAGTTAACGACCTGATCCAGCGGGACTGGCCACACCTCTTGTAGCTGGTGTGTGGACCGGAACTGGTGCAAGGCATTGATGCCTGTTTGGTAAGTGGCCCATGTATTTGTAGACAGAGATTGTTGTAGGAGTCTGCCGACTTCCTGCCTCAGATCAGCCATATGTTGCATGGGATAGGTGTGGGGTTCTGGTCCGTGGCTGGTGCTGCCTCTCGGAAGCGTTTGAGCTGAAACCTCGAGAGAGCATCGGCAATAGTGTTAGCAATGGAACATACATACTTTGCCTTAAACATAATATTATATCGGAGGCACTGCAGGATTAGGCGATTGAGTAGGCTCATCACTCTGGGGGCCTTGGTCGACTGCTTGTTGATTATTGCTACGACGGCTTGGTTGTCGCAGTGAAAGAGGACCTTTTTGTTTGCGAGTTGCTTGCCCCAGAGTTGGATGGCCAGTGTGTTGGGGAACAGCTCCAGGAGCGTCAAGTCCCGTGTAGTTCCATCCATCACCCACTGGGTTGGCCATGCGCCGTTAAACCATTTGCCCTGCATGTAGGCCCCAAAGCCGGCACCACCCGCTGCGTCTGAAAACAGCTGGAGGAAATCGCTGTCTACCCATAGTTGGTCCCGAAACACTGAAATGCCGTTATAACTCGTAAGAAATGTTAACCACATTTGTAGGTCTTCCTTGACCCAGCTGGTAATCCTAATGTGGTGAAATGGTTGCTTACCTTTGCTAAGCAGGTCGATTAGCCTTCGGCTGAATGCCCTTGCCATTGGTATAGCCCTGCACATAAAGTTAAGCTTGCCTATGAGGGACTGAAGGGCCCTTTTTGGGACCTTGATGTTACCTGTTGACAGGATGTCTTGGATTTCCCTTGTCGCCTCCTTGATCTTGGACTCTGGGATTCTGATCTGCATTGCAATGGTGTCGATGTCCAGCCCTAGGAATGTCAGTTTGGTCGTGGGGCCCACCGTCTTGTCGTGCGCAATAGGGACCCCAAGCTGTTCTAGTGTATTCACGCATCCGTTGAGGTTGTCTGAGCAGTGGCTGGTGCCTGCTGTGCCCCCCGTTAGGAAGTCATCCAGGTAATGCATGATCTGACACGTTGGAAGATGTGATTGCATGCACCATTGCAAGAAGGTACTAAACGTTTCAAATATGGCGCAAGATATGGAGCAGCCAAATGGTAAGCATTTATTGAAATAGAACTCACCTTCGAATCTGATGCCTAGTAGCTCGAAATCGGATGGGTGGACTGGTATAATTCTAAAGGCTGACTGAATTTCGAATTTTGCTAGTAGTGCTCCCTTTCCCAGTTGTTGAACCATATGAGTAGCTTCATCAAATCTGGCATACACAACGGAGCAGGCCTCTGTGTCTATGAAGTCATTTATAGATTTACCCGTGGGATAGGATAGATGGTGAATTAGACGGAATTCCTCCGCATGCTTACCCAGATGCTGACCATAGCCTGGCTGCTTCTTGGGCACCAGGCCTATTGGGGATACTTGGAGGTTGTCTAGGGGGGTGTCCTTGAAGGGGCCCGCCATCCTGCGAAGTTCGACTTCCTTTTGTAGTTTTTGTTTCACGTAGCCTGCCGTGTCTTGGTGCGTGGCTGATCGCGAGTTTCGTGCCAGGCGACCCGTGCTTCCCTGGAACTCGAGCTTAAAGCCAAAGCTAAAACCTACCCATAAATAATTTGCATCTCTGTAATTGACCCTAGCATATTGGCGTAACCAGGGTGCCATTTCATTGAGATCCACGGGGGAAGGGGCCATTGAATTTACCTGCCTTGACGGCTGGTTTTCTGTTAGGGAAGGGCTGATTGGGCTTGTATGGGGTCGGTTGGACCCCATTCCCTCGAAAGCAGGTCCTAGAGCTGTGGGAATGTTTGCCACACTTACCGCATTTGTGAGTGTACTTACAGTTGACCCTGCTACAGCCAAATTTATTGAAATCCCAGCATACCTGACTGGCGATGTCCCCCTGTACGCGTGTCATTGCGCCCCGTCCGCCTGATTCTGGTTGTCGTACCGGCTGTGTGACCATGTACTTCAGCCACAACTCCCCGTTGATGTTGTCCCAGCGTCGTGAGGGGTCCCTTGACATTCTGTGGCGGAATTGTTGGTCATAGGTTGACCAGGCATCCCCCCCTGAATCGAAGTGCCTCCGTTCTTATGGTTTCCATGTAGGACAGCAACCCCTGGGTTGTGCGGACCTCGGAGTGCCTACTAACATAGATATACATGAAAATGTGGAAAGCTGAAGTCCAGCTTGCCAGGGACAGGCGCTTTGGTTGCTGCTTTATTGGTTTAAAAATTATCTTACCTGAGGAGTCATACGCCATGGCAATCGTACCGTCCTCGTGACTTCCCTCGGTGTTTGGTAGGATTGTGCCGAGGTCGACAAACTCGCCACGCCAGATTTTTTCCCTCACCTGTTGTTTGACGTGTGCGTCTATTCCATCCGCACGGAAGGATAGGGAATCCCCGTATCCTGCATTGTGATTGGCTGGCCAAGCCGCGTCACCATCGGCCTCGTTGTGAGCATCGGGGATTCTCCCTATGTTGGGCGAAATGGCGGGAGAACTAAAACCAAGCCTTACCTGTTGGTTTGCGCTAACCGGGCCGGGCGCTGAATGTTCCAGCAACTGGAGTATTTTTTCCAGTTGCTCGTTTACCTGGGTAGCCGAGTTGGCAGCCTGCGCGGCATTTACAAGCTGCGCCGGTTACACGTTAATTCTGTTGCCACCGTAATTGGCAGACTCACCATCAGCTGTTGCCCCCTGCATGATGTGTACTCCCGGGGTTTGTCTTCTGGTTGTCCTGGCCTGCTTTGCTCCCCTCACCAGCTTGTGGTTGACGGCTGCTCTTCTCTTGGGAGGCTTCACGAAAGGTCGAAGTGGTGAGTTCGTATTCCACAAGCGTAAAATGTCCCGAGGATGAAGTTCGGGAGTAGAACGGAATAAATGCGATACGGCGAGTGCTGAAATAGGTAGTATTCAAAGCCTAATCGGCGAAACGGTCGAGACTGGTTACAAAGGAAACATACAAAGCGAAAGCGATTAGATACAGTCACACATGTGTGTACTTGAAGAAGGACTGTCCGCGAATGATGGACTGTAACAAAAGGCGGGATGATGCTTGCGCGGGATTATTCCCCGGGCACAGTGCAGAGTGGTGACCCGGGGGTGATTGAGTTACGAGGGGTGATTGGGTTACAGACGTAATTAGCCAATGGTTTGGATACGCGCAATAAAGTCATTTAGTAGTTAGTACTAAATGTAACTATCGAGAGATTGGGTAATGAATGATCCCGGGGTGCACAGAGTTGATCCGGGAGATCGTTTACAAGACTGTTTATGAGCATGTCACGAAAAATACAAAGTAGAATCAACCCTTTTGATAATAGACGATTGCAGTGCGAGTAAAGAACTTACCAAAAAGAAAGATATGATTTCATATTAAGCATTCTCCGGTCGGTATACTCAGCATAGCGTTTGGGTACTTCTCAAAATTACAACTCTGTCCTGAAAGATCTCAGAGAGCAGACCAAATGGGTAGCCCTGTTTCATTGCAAAGACCGAGATTCATTATACCGAATGAGATAACGTCAGAAAACAAAGCATTGTAAACTCATATTAAAAACAGATCAACTAGCAAATGTAGCAACTGCTAAGCAAAAATAGCAGCTGCTAAGCAAAATTAGAGCAACTGGTAAGGAAAAATATAGCAAATATGGCAAAAATATAGCAAAAATATAGCAAAAATAGCCACTGCTAAGCAAAATTATAGGCAACTGCTAAGCAAAAATAAAGCAAATTTTGGCAAATATAGCAAAAATATAGCAAAAATGTAGCAAAAATATAGCAAAAATACGATAAATTGAACATTTGCGGTTATTATGTAATAATGTGGTTTGAAATCCTCATTCTTTCGCAACAGTTTATTATTTCGAGCTGTATTGGATGTGCCATATTCCATTATGTTAGACTTAAATATTATCTTAGGTATTACATTATGGAATGCGATGAACTCATCGAACAAAAGCTCAAAGAACCTGATCAACATGCAGAAATAGTTACAGATAAACATAGAGAAAGACTCGCTGCTTTGGTAGCTGGTGGGAAATGTTCCCAATATTTGGGGGAAAATTATACCATTGAAAGAAATTGATAACATGACTGATGAAGAAATTAAAAAACTGTACGAGTGTTACGAGTCTAGACTGGAAGCTACCATGACTAAAACAATAGGTTCGGCTATGTTGCAACTATACACAGTCGTAGCTAGTATGTTTCTTCCTATCCCGGCAGAACATCGCCCGTATTTAGGCGAATATCTCGAGAAAGACCCATTCATCGAACACGCTATAGGTGCAGTAAGCTGTGAGTTTTATCATAGATACGGAATGTTCTTAGCTCTGGTAACCACCGCTTTAATAACGGCTAGGTATTGTCACTTACTAATAATGGAGACTGAAGTGACACCACAGATTGTGGAGACACAACAACAAGTTCAAACCCAGATTGTATCACAGATTGTGGAAACACAATCACACAAAGTGAACGAGGAAATAACCCCGATTGTGAGTGAATGAGGAAATACTAGCGATTGCGAAATCACAAGCCAGAGTGACTAAGAATCCTTTGAAAATTGCAGCTGGGAGGAAGGGTGCGCTAGCGAGGAAGGCAAAACTAATACATAATTCAAATATTGAACATAGTCGTCCGATTAAAACTTGGGCTCCCTATGCACTAGTAGTTGTTGCTATAGCAGTGGTATGGTTGTTTTATAAGACCGGAGAAGAGAAAACGTCACCAGCGATTACACAACAACAAGTTCAATTAGAGGTAAGCCTTCATATAATGTTATAATGACTACTCCAGTTACAGACGGTAAAATGTTGGTAAACGCAACATATCATTCAGCGGTGGTCAGCGGCTTGACCATTGGCTATGCCCGTATGGCTAAAATGATTACTAAAGCCACACCACCCAAGCTAGATTTTAATGGTTATGATATCGGTATGATGATTCTTGATATTGGATTCGCAATGGCAACAAAAGTAATGCTCATCAAACAAGGGCTTATCCCAGAAGACATAATGAAGTAATTAAACATTTTAATATTTATATTATTGAACATTTGAA